CTCGGTACCTATTTCGATTGATTGACATTTGTGGTTACACAAATAATTTGCATGTCTTAAGTGCGAACGCTGTATTACGAAAAAAATATTCACTGTTACAAATTTTCAATTTTTTTGCAAGTACCAAACCAAATTTTTACGTGTAGTGGTAACAGGCCCTAAAATGTATATTTCTATATTCTTAGAATTTAATTGCGTTACACAATTTGACGTGTTGTACCGACTGAGATAACGTAACTGTCAAGTTGGTTGCACGCTAAGATAACATTTTAATTTATGCGCTACAGAGATTAGTCAGAGCATTTTAGTTTAGTGTATAGCTTTTCCTTGAAAAAAATGGATCTTCGTTTTAGACCAGTGGGTCTTCGTTTTAGACCAGTGGGTCTTCGTTTTAGACCACAAGGTCTTCATTTTAGACCACAGGATATTCATTTTAGACCAGTGGGTTTTAGGTCTTAGGTCTTCGTTTTTGGGTCTTTGTTTTAGACACATCTGCATACCATGAGTGATTTTTGGGGTATAAACGTCATTAACAGGAATAACCTAATATGTTTACAATTAATGATTCTTTGAAATCGAGGTGAATAGTGGCTAAAGATTTGCTGAGCCGCAAAGCTATGGTTAGCCAAATGTTGCAAAATTCAACAACTTGCATATTTATATTCAACAACTAATATTTATGCGCAACAAAATATATTTTTATTCAACAGTTTACAGTTATATTCAACATTTTACATTTATGTTCAATGACACGCATTTTCTTTTCATATTCGACCAAAATTATTTTTATTCAACAACAATATTTATTCAACTTCAATAGCTATATTTATTTTACTCAACAAAATTAATTGTTCAACATCAGTCCAAACTTTTACCCAACAAGAACAAAGATTCAACTTCTACCATGCATAGTTATTTAATGACATACCTTCTATTATGACCATGTGTTTGAAAGTTCCCGGACATTCAAAATATCGTCATTCAACAAAATTGCCCGCCCCTACCCCTGAACTAGCCCCAAACATGAAACCCATTCCTTTCCAATACGAAGGTTGTGGTTCAATTGTTTCTCCTGCTTACCTTTGAGGTACCATGGATGATTTGTTACAACTGCGGGCCTCTTTTTTCCCTTGTGAAAAGAAGACTAAGAAGAAGGAACCGGGGTGGCTGTGGCGGGAAAAGGTGGAACGATACCTGGGGCGATAGAATTTGTCATCTCTCGGCTCGCAGATGTTGCTGAACTTGCTATAAGGTCGCGCGTTCTCATTAACAATGAGGTATTACTTCCCAATCGGTGAAGAGCGATCTCATTTCGAACGCATTCTCTCACAATTTGTGTCAGTTCTTCCCTAACATCAGGCCCTGAGCCGTCTTAATTCCGACACCATCTCTATTCATGGGCGTTAATGGTCGGGGCACTGTTAAATACAGTGTATTTAACAGGGGACTGGACGGGGATTTTGTTGAATGACGATATTTTGAATGTCCGGGAACTTTCGAACTTAGTCATGATAGAAGGTATGTCATTAAATAACTATGCATGGTAGAAGTTGAATCATTGTTTTTGTTGGGTAAAAGTTTGGACTGAAGTTGAACAATTAATTTTGTTGAGTAAAATAAATATAGCTATTGAAGTTGAATAAATATTGTCGTTGAATGAAAATAAATTTGGCTGAATACGAAAAGAAAATGCGTGTCATTGAACATGAATATAAAATGTTGAATATAACTGTAAACTGTTGGACAAAAATGTATTTTGTTGAGCATAAATATTAATTGTTGAATATAAATATGCAAGTTGTTGAATTTTGCAACATTAGGCTAACCATTCAAAGCGGCTCGGTAAATATTCCCTAAAGCCACTATTCACCGAGATTGAAAAGAATAATTGTTTTAGTATATACACACAAAGTGATCTTGACAAAATTAAAAGGTAGCCATTTAAAGGCAATTTCTGCTTCTGAAACTTTAGCAAAACGCAAGTTTACGCCCGCTATTTTGTTTTTTACATTATCCACTTGCTCAGAGGTGTACATTGTTGATTAGCCTGAGATAGCGAACCAATCAGATTGCTTGAAAAGCCAAGATCACTGAGTGTGTATAGACTAATTAATTGTATGCGTAAGTGTATGCTGTAAAAAAGAAAAATTATTTAAAAATATTTAAAAAAATTAAAAGGATGGAAAAAACCAAGAAGTATATCGCGTTAAGTCTCCTTATCTTATTCCCTAGCCACCTGCTGCTTATTATAAATTTATAGTTCACCACTAAATTTTTTCTGATTCTTGTGGGTTTAAATTAATCATGTGATGCAATAGTCTTCATCCGTGGAGAGACACTATTGGCCCATAGTTGCCTGTCCACGAAAATGCCCGGATAGATGTTACTCATCTGTGAAAAACAGTGACTTTTCAATTCTGACAGGTATAACGTATTATTTAGCCAATGTACGGTTGTGAATTATTGACATTTGTGACAGGCTGTAGGCATGAATAAATATTTGATTGATCAGTATTTAGTGGGTTTTGACTGTTTTTCAACTGCCACGCAGATGAAAATTTAGTGGTGAACAATAAAGACAAAAGAGTGTTTATGTCTTTGAACTATCAATCTTATAGTTGCCCCTTGGAAATTTGATGTTCTTAAAACTGACTAGCATATTTGCCCTTGATGCTTTGCCTCTTGGGTAAGTATTTGTTTTAAGAACATCAAATTTCCACGTGGCAACTATCAGCAAGTAGTTCCTCGACGGAAACACTCTATTGTTTAAATAGAAGGCTTTTCACTAGAATGGGTGCTGAGTACCAACTGTTGCTACTTGAGGGCCAATAAATTCCACAAAAGTATACATATCTCCTCCAAATTGTCCCTAGTGAGAGTGATTGAAAATACCTTCAAATATTGAAGTGCATCTGGCCGAGTAAATGACTCTCCAAGTATCAATGAGAGACTGTCCTAGAAGGTTGTGTGTAAATTACCAGTTGGGCTCTGTGGTAAGGCTGTTTGCGGTGTGTGTCACAACAAAGCAATTTAGTCCCAATAAGTGGTTAAACAAAGTGCCTCTCGGGTGGATGCAGCAAAATGTTCAGAACCTTTTGCTGCTCAAATGGGTAGGTATATGCAGTTTGCTCTCATTGGTGCCAATTTGAGGGACATTGGTTGACTTTTGTAGAATTCTTGGGCCTTGAAGTAGTAATGGTCAATGCTTGGAACCAGTTATTCTTGATTCTTACTGAAGCAAAAGCCTTATGTCATATAATACCAAGCTTGTTCAGTCAAGATGGCTGAATATTAGCCTATTTTTTTTTTTTGGAATTTCTATGGACCTTTACTTCATCATACAGTATGCTTGGCCCACCTGTGATTAATTGTGAACAATTATTTCACTTCACTTTGATTACACAAGGGACCTGATTTTTCTTTTACTAGTGAAGCTCAGTAGGAATTATATTCTTCCAGGGAAAAATTAAGTTTCTGTGAAAATCTTTTACATTTTACTTGCTGCAGGCCCAAACATTTCTTATGACTTTTTTAAATGTCATTATTGTTGTAAGTTTCCCTGTGACACATTTATAAGCTTGTTTTCTTGTATTTACCATTCTAAGAATGCATCAACAATGTAAGAAAATATTCACATTGTTCTCATTTCCATATGAAGGAAGTAACCTTAGACTTACAATTATCTGCCAAATTTTAAGAAAATTTTGATGAAAAGAGGAACTTAATCCAAGGCTTTCTTTCAAAATGTAGATATCAGAGAGACAATAAATTTACTTTCTTCATGAAAAGTCAGCGCTGTTTTTCATTACGTTGTGTCCAACATATAACCCTCACTTCCTTCTCAAGACAAAGTTTTAGTGATGTCCACCATCAGAGTGGGTTACTTTTTAATTTTTCATTACCATTTCCTTGCCACCTAAGATTATCCCTGTAAGAACACAAAATTAAACACACCTTTCATTCATCAAATGAGAATGATATCAATTTAAACAAACTTTTACATCAGTCCCATTAATTTTAACTACTGATCAGCTACACAAGAAGCTCTTAAGACACTGCATGCGGAAGAAGTACAAACAATGACCCCAATTTTTTTTTGACATGTCTAAAATATGTGTTATATATAATACCAGAAAAAGGAAAGTATAGATTCTTTTGCCCACTAGTAATAAAAATACTACTACTAAATTAAATACAACTGTAACATCAATATTTTAACAATTAACGAACTGCCTCCCAGTTAGCTCAATTCCTTAGAGTACTGGACTGTGGTGCGGGAGGTTGAGGGTTCGAACCCTGGCCATACCAGCACTCAAGGTCTTAAAATAACTAAGGAGAATGTGCAACCTTTCTATATTATCAAGAAATAGATAAACATTCTAGTTTCTCAGATAAGGACCAATAAACTGTAGGTCTGGTCTCCTGCATCTATTCATTAGTTAATTAGGTTAGGCAGGGGACATTAAAGAACCCACTCACAAGGTTACTGTGATGCGGTCTGACCTGTTTACTGGGAATGGGGATGGGGGCATCTTCAAATATTTCCTTTGATTAATTTAAAACTGCTGATGTAGTCAGGCCAAAGTCCCCCGAAAATTGTTGTAAATTAATTCTGAGAAGCCCCTTGGGGAGAATTAATAAAATATTGTATTGTAAGTCATGTGAGAAAGGCTTCTGATCTGACTAATACTACCAACTAGCAAGAAGCATAGGTAATACGTGGGTACTAAAGATAACCATTATTGACACATCAATCTCTTGTAAACAGAATCAAGAATTTTGCAAATGACTGTCACATTACTCAATAAAAGACCAGTAGATCTCTTAAAATAAAACTTGCTTAGACAGTGGTAGGTTCCTGACAAAAGAAAGGAAAATGTACCAGTACAGTTGCCACTCTTACAACACATCATGTGTTTTCTTGCTGTTGATTGACAGAGGATGGTAAATAAAAGTGCTTAATTTTTAAGTGCAGGTGAAAAGCTAAATTCAAGAATGTCTCCTATAAAGCTTTTTAATCTATAGTTTCAGCAAACTTTTGTTTTGTTCAGAAACAACACGTTACAGGAGAGCTGGTTTACAGGCAATTCGCCACCACAAAACTTGCCATCACAAAACTTGCCACCACCGGCGGCAATTTGGCTTAAAAATTACGTGTAGCCTCTTGTGTGAAACTTACATCAAATCAAAGCTAATATGTATTAGTATATTGCAAAAGGGAAAAGGACTCCGAAGTTAGGCATAGGGTCTCACTATTAGAACGTTAAACGAAGTAAAATATGTTGATATCAAGAAGATTATGATCAGTTTCCAAACACCCGAGTGATTTTTGCTACCGATATGAATGATAACGTAGGAAACTTATCTCATAAAAATGCTAAGAAGTGGAAGTATCTTGTAAAATTAAAAGCGCATACAAACACAGCAAAGTTCACTCAAACAGACTTTGGCATCCTTTCTCTGTTTGGTAAACCTTTGTTTCAAGCACAGAGAGTGTCGACGTGAGCTTTAACACTAGGTTCATTCGTATGAATACGATTCACAATCAATGAAATGAAACTTGTATCATACGAAAGGTTAGTTCTAGAAGTTAATATATTTTTAAGTTTTTATGATGCGAAATTAAGAGTGCCTGAAAACACGGAAAACTTCGGCAAATCAAAACATACCTCGAACACCTCAGTCTCCACCCTCTGCTGAACTCACCCCCTCTCCCACCCACTTCTAAAACTAAGTTTGAGAGATCAAGTTACTAACAGGCAAGTCACTGTCATAGGTTTACAATGTCATGTAAGTAAAAAGCTATTACTGTTTTTTCAAATACGAGTCGCTGAAAATTGTCTACACATTATGTGAGAGTGACTTGTTGCCTAATAGGCCCCAAGTTCAAGGTTTTTAAAACTCTTCACCCCATAACATAATCGACTTTACTCGAAATTTTCTTGCAGCCAGACTGTGAGAAGACCTCCAGGTCTTTTGGAAAGTATGATAATTCATCTGCTACTTTATTAAAGATGAGTTCTGAGACTGGGTGTCCTTTCCTTCTTAACTCGGCTTCAGCACACAATTTAACGTGGGATCTCTCCAACGGCAAAAATGGAATAAAGTAGTCTATGAGATGTTTTTCAATAAGAGAGGAATGCCAGAATCCACCTTTGCCATCAAATTCACCGCGCTACTA